ACTGAAGTTTCTAAATGAGAGAACTGGCCCAAGGTCATACAGCTACTGAATGATAGATTTGGCATTCAAACCCAGATTTGTCTGACCTTCAAACCAAGCTGTTGGTTTAAGATGAGGAGAGTGATAGTACTTGGCTCCTCAGATTGTCGTAAAGATTAATTGAAATAATCCACAGAAAATGAGTCCCTGTTGCCTAGCACTTCGTGGGTGCTCCATAAATATGAAGTGGGTGAATAGTGCTGACATAGCTGCCACTGCTCTTACCACTGAGCTTTGGCTACTGTTCTTTGACAAGTGCCATTGACTATCCTGAGTTCTCTATGCGCCCCTTGTTTGCGCCTGAAAACCATCTGAAGGTCAGAGGCCTGGAAGCAAAGCCTCCACTCAATGATGCAAACCATTCCAGCCACAGAATTTTGAGTGTGTCTTTGTGACATTATGTAGGCATAAAAATAGTGGTGATCATAACAATACTGTGCTAATACCTTACATTTATTATTTAGTAGAAAAAGCTCTTCAACTCTCTTTTTCTTTCAGGCATCTCAGGTCTATTTGAACATTTTGGTGTTTCTAAACGTTTATCTGGATAATGGGGGGTCCATGTTCTCTGCTTTGTTTATTGCTAAAAACGTGAGGCGTTCTGTGGGGAGGGTGCCTGAGGACGTGAGCCAAGTTCAGGGTCAAGAGCTACATTAGACCCAACACAGGCAAAGATTTAGCGGCAGGTGGTGCCTCTTGCATACACATTCACTTCCAGCCAAAACGATGTCCTCAGCAGACTCCATCACATTGGAGAGAGAGCTGGGAAATCCAACAATGACTCATAGTGTGCTGGGGAGGAAAACTGAGCACTGAGGTTTGGAAAAAAAAAGACAAAGCAATGGAATGTTACCCTAGAGTCTAAACTAGCAGGAATCTTCATGTCTTCCCCCTTCCCACTGACATTTCTTTGTGGATTAAGACTGCTGGCTTTGAAGGACAAAGTCATCATTGTCCAGCCATGTGACCTTGAGCAAATTGCCTTGGGCAAAAGACTCTGAGGATTACCCCTCTGAAACCTTAGTGTTCTCTTCTATAAATTGAAATTTTAAAAATGTCCAAAGTAAGGTTGTTATAAAGTTTGATGAAGTAATGAACCTTGTTGACACATTTGTGCTACTCAAAAAATGTTGATTTCTGTTGGTGCAGGGAGGAGCATATTTAAGTTACAGGCATTCCTTTTTCTTTCAATAGTGTTTAGAGTTTACGTTCTTGTTGGGACTAGGAAATGCATGTCTTTGGAGGCACTTTAGATCTGTGTTTTCAGGATAATCTCATCTACGTGATCAGAAACACTCTCCTTAGGGATAGAACTTCTAAGCAATTTCTTGAAAACTGAAGGATGACTGAAAGGTGTCTGAGAAAATAAGTGCCAGAATGGAATAAGTAGTTTCTTCAGGGAGAGCTAATGGTTTCAGTAAAAGCCTGGCATTGAGAGAGAACAAGGCACCTTGGAGAGAGTGAGAAAGCTGGGGAGGCTGAAGAAGAGTGAGGAGGAAGAAGGGCGGGGGGTGGAGCCCGTTGCGGAGGCTGTGGATGTTGAGGCTAAGCTTTCTTGGGGGACTTAGACTTTATCTTCAGGGCATTAAGAAGCCAGTGAAGAGTTTGCGAGTGATGAGAACCATAAATAATTCCTATTAATAGATAGATTTCTTGGACTGCTATCTGGAGAAAGGATGGGAGGCAGCAAAAATGAAGCAGACTTGGGCAAAGATAGGTAAGAAAACCACCCCACAACTGGCGAGGATTCTAATATAATGGGATTCTAGAAGATTAGGCAGAGGTTTGGTTTGTTTGGTTTTTGTTTGGCTGTGTGTGTGTATGTTTGTGCGTGTGTGTGTAGATGTATGTGATTTCCTTTTAGTATTTTTTCCTATTCATATATACTTTTTGATCAAAATACATATACTTTTTTTTTTTAAACCTCATGTATTTTCTATAATTGTCCTATGGAACTATTTGTATTTTGTTTTAAATATACAAATGAAATATCAGGAGGAAAAGGTAGAAAAACAAGAGTAAATATTTATTTATATAGTTCTATTTCTCAGAACTATACCGCTGTTACCACTTTGGTTTCTTTCTTTCTGTTATTTTTGTTCTCTCTGTGTATTCATAGGTCTTCTGTTCAAAGATTTGTAATAGTACCTATGCACTGTTGCTGTGTGCTTTTTCTTTAACCTAATATTATATCATAAGTGTTTCCCCTGTTTTGTTTTAGAGCAATTAATGGCCAAACAATATCCATTAAGCAGTTGTACAATAATTTATTTAAGCCCCTTCTCTCCTATTATGGTATAATTAAGCTGTTTCTATTTTTTCCTAGTATAAATGAGATTACATTGAAAGTTTTGTGCATAAGCCTTTATCCCTATTTAGGATTATTTCCTTAGGATAGATTCCCAGAAATGGAATTATTGGATCAAAAGGTCTGTATGTTTTATGTCTTTCTTGGTACATGCTGCCAAACTGCTTTCCAAAAAGTTGTGTGAATTTACACTGCCCCGTCCCTGTATAAAAACAAAATCCTGGGGAATGTAAGTTCCTCCACAGTCAGGCACCTTTTGTCCCTGGAACACAGAGCCACAGAATCTCAGATTTGGAAGGAGCTTTAAAGGTTAGTGAAGCTAACCTCTGCTGTGAAGAGAGCGTCAAAACTTGTTCCACAATGGTATTGGCAATTGTACCATTTTTGAGTTGGGTGGCATCTCAGAGGTCATTTTGCATAAATGCCCCAAATTGCCTACACAATCTCAGTCAGGGGTTCTGGGTAGTCTCTGTGCTGAGGGCTCTGCATACACCAACTCAGTCTTTCTATAACCACAGGAGAAGGATACTGTTATTGTTCTTTTCATTCTTCAGATGGAAAAACTGAAGCACAAGAGGTAAATAACTTGTCACAGGCCATGTGGTCTTAGGACTCTTAACTACTATGTTTTGCTACCTCTTTTCAGTAAATACCTATATAAACTAAAGAGAGACAAGCACTACAAAAGAAAAGAAGAGGGGTTGGTGAAAGAGATTAAAAAGAGTGCCTACTGTGGTTTGGGAGATCAGGGAAAGTCACTCTAAGGATGAGATACCTGGGGATACCTGAGGATGTCTTAGCCAGGTGAAGATGGGATAAAAGCCTCACAAGAAGGGAGAACAGCATGTGAGAGGGCCCTGGGGCAGGAGAGGACTTCGGGAATTGTAGTAACTGAAAGGACAATGGGTTGGAGCTTATAAGACAAAATAGCCTGTAAGAAAGGAGGTCAGAAAAATAGTAGGGGCCAAGTCATTTCAGGGCCTGAAGAGGTTGGCTTTTATCTTAACAGCAATGCGGTTCCATGAGAGGGTTAGAGGACACCATGATCTTTCTTGTGCATAAAATGATCATGGAGAAGGCATTAGAGAGGGCTTGGCGGGGGGGAGGTGGGAGCAAGTTGGGAGGCTGATGCAGCCGAGTGGGCAAAGATGATCATGTCTGGTCACTGTGGCTGCAAAGGATAAAGAGAGAAGTAGAGAGATTTTTAACAGACTTTTGTTTAAGTGCTGATGGGTGAGATGTAGCCTCTTGCTGGAAGCCTTTTGGGCGTTTGTCCATGCAGGCTCACCCTGACGAACCTTCTCTCTGACCCCATGGTAATCCCCAGTGTTGGAGATGGGGCCTTGTGGGAGGTGTTTGGGTCATGGGGATGGATCCTTCATTAATGGCTTAATGTTGTCGTTGCAAGAGTGACTGAGTTCCTGAGAGATCTAGTTGTTTAAAAGTATGTGGCACTTCTTCCCTTCCCTCTCCCACTCAATCCGTGTGAGAGGCCTGTTTCCTCCTTTGCTTCCTGAGGCTCTCACCAGAAGCAGATGCCAGCACCATGCTTCTTGTACAGCTTGCAGAACTGTGAGCCAATTAAACCTCTTTTCTTTCTTTTTTTTCTTTTTTTTTGAGACAGAGCCTTCTTGATCATGGCTCACTGCAGCCTTCAACTTTTGGGCTAAATCAATCCTCCTACCTCAGCCTCTCCAGTATCTGCAATCACAGGTGTGTGCCACCATATTTGTAGAGACAGCTTCTCACTATGCTTCTCAGACTGTTCTCGAACCTTGGACTCAAGTGATCCTCTTGCCTTGGCCTTTCAAAGGGATACAATTACAGGCATGAGCCACGGTGCCTGGTCTCAACCTCTTTTCTGTATAAATTATACAGCCTTGGGATCTCTTTATAGCAATGCAAGAATAGACTAACATAGTCACATGTTTCATGAGTCATTTTACATTAAATGCTCAGAATAGATAAATTCATAAAGACAGAAAGCAGATTGATAGTTGTCAAGGGCTCAGGGGAGTGAGAAATGGGGAATAGCTGCTTAGTAGTATGGGATTCTCTACTGAAGTGATGAAAATGTTTTGGAACTTGATATAGTTGGTGGCTGCACAAGATTGTTAACGTTCTAAATGCTGCTGAATTGCATATTTTAAGGTGGTTTGTTCTACATTATGGGAAGTTTATTTCAATAAAAAAATTTACAAAGAATACATGGGAATGAAATGCACTAGTTTCAGGTCCTCAGTGGTTAACTGAAGGACAGAGAAAGAATAAAAGGTGGATCTTTAGCTAAATTTATAATTTTTTTATTTCTTTATAACATAAAAGACCTGGAGGAAAACAAAAACTGTCACTACTTGGGCTCTCCCTGAAAAATCTTTTGTATAGGGAAATGCAGCTAAGACTAGGGAGAATGCAGTAGACAAGCAAGAAAGCAGTGTTGGCTGCATTTCGGCTGATTTTTCTTTCCACTGAAGATTTTTCTTTCCTCTGACTTTTAACACAAGAGGAAGGACTTCGAGGTCATGAGACTCAATTTGGTGTGCTGCGGCCACAGTTCCTATATTAGAATCAATGCAATAATGCAATGCTAATCTGAGATATAACAAACTGCAGAAATTGGCTTCTTACAATTAGTCTGTCTTTCCTCAGATGGAAAAGGAGTTGTGTGAGACAGCAGAGCACTTCAGGGTCAAGAACTCAGTCCCTACAATCAAGGCAGGATCGAGTATTGTGGAGAGAACCGGTGCCTCTAGTGAGTGGCTGCCCAGGTTACAGGTAAGGGGAGCTAAGGAACCCACCCTACTGAGAGGCCCCTGTACCCTGCCTGGTCCAGGCACTGTGTACATGTCAGCATGGTCAACTTTCAGGACCACCTCTAAGTGGGGGTTGGTTTGCCTGCACTTTGTAGTGGAGGAAATGGAATCTCAGATGAGGAACATGCCTAAGGTCACAGAGGGAGTTGAACAGAGCTGGTATTCCGATCCTGTCTGCCCAGTGCCAGAGCCTATGTTCACGGTAGTGCCTCTAGTTCTAAAACAGAGCCTGGCATGTAGAAAGTGCCGGATATATATTTGTTGAATGAATTAATGAATAATAGCAAAATGAAATAATTTCTAATGGTGTATTAGTTTGGTAAAGATGCAAAGAATTAAAACTAATTAAAGAGCAGGCACATTTATAGATTGTTCATGCAAATATAAAGTGGTATAAACTTTTAGGAGTGCAAAATTTATGTTGACAAATATATATAAAGAGTCTGAAAATTGTGCAAACCCTTTTTCCCAACACTTCCACCCTTAGGATGTAATGTAAAGACAACAATTTTTAAAAAGTACTCAAAGCTCTACAGCAGTGGTAATCAGAGTGTAACATTTTTTGATGTTATAAATGATTTGTTCTATAATTAAAGATTACTTAAATCAATGGCACATCAGCAAAAGGACTGTTTTGCAGTTCTTAAAAATCTATGTACTAAAAGAACATTTAATGACAAAGGCAAATCTTTTTTAACATATTGCTTAATGGAAAAAGAAGGCTACCAAATAGTGTCTCCAGTTTGTAACATTTATTCCAGTTTAAAAATAATATATACAGGCCGGGTGCTCATGCCTGTATTCCCAGCAATTTGGGAGGCTGAAGTGGGAGGATTGCTTGAGCTCAGGAGTTTGAGACCAGCCTGGGCAACATAGTGAGACCCCATCTCTGATATCTCTCTCTCTCTCTCTCTCTCTCTCTCTCTATATATATATATATATATATATATATATATATGCATCAAATAAAAAGATGAGAAGGCCCAATACCAAAATATTAATGTAGCCACATTGCTATACAGAGAGGTTATGGGCAATTTGTATTTTCTAATTTTATTTCTATTGTACTTTGCAACTATTTTTCAAGGGGAAATAAGCATATTCTTTTGGTCTTAGAAACAAGTCAATAAATGCTACATGAAAAAAAAACAAACTTACTCTACTCATCTAACGAACAATATCTTGTGTGGATGAAAAGAAATGTCCTTTTTCTTAAAGAAATAAATAATTGATAATGTAAAAGAGTGTCTTTGAATATTTATCTTAGTGTATTTTCTCTTCTTCCTCCTCCTCTTTTCTTTCTTATTTTTTTTTTGGTTCCTCAATGTACAACTCTAGCTCCTTCTCTTCCTGGTGCCAATCTTAAACATCTGGTTAATGATCTGAATTCTCTCCTTCTCCTGTGCTTTCTCATTGAGGAATTTGAAAGCAAAGAGTCTTGGATTTTAGACATTTGGGAATGGCCAAGATTTTGGACTTGTTTTGTGAAAAGATGTATTTGTTCAGTTGAGCAAGTGTGAAGCAAATGCTTTCAGCATGTCTATTAATCTTAGCAGTCTGAGTGATGTAAGGGTATGCACACTCATGTTTTATGATGTTTGGTTTCATAAAAATATGTTTGGTTTCAAGGCATTGGCTTCTATTCTCTGTTGACTAAGAACAAATTTGGAGTAAGGAAGGCATCTTGAATTTTATCCCAAACCTAGTTTGTTTTTTAATCATCAACTGGAACTCTATGATGGCTATGACTAACACATTTTGTGAGTTCATGAAAACATTTACTTTAATAGAAAAAAAAAAATAGAACAACTCTAGAATCAGAGTGACTGACGCTATGTTTTGCCAAAGGATTCTTGCTGGAAGGTTCTACTGAGAGTTTTGAGGGCTGTTACTGCTTATCACACTGAGGAGAAATGGAGAGATTCTAAATTTAGGTCACAGATTCTAAATAGAAAAGGAAGCAAAACAAAGGGATATTCTAGTCAGGTTGGGGAACTCAAGCCTGATTTATAACCACCGAGATGCAGGCAGAATTCTCTTTTCATCACACCAGAGTTAATAATGTGTTGAATGGAAGAAAATGTGTTTGTACCCCCAAAGCCCTATTAGTGTGTTCTTTAACTTGAATCAAGCTGCAGAACTATGAGATGCCATTGGGCAATGCTTAGGTTATAATGTGTAGTGCAAAAGTCCTGATAGAAAATGTGTGCGTATAATTTTGTAAGGAGAAAAATAAAAAGAAAGCCTCTACATTTAAAAAGACCAGAAAAAAATATCATGAAATGTTACTTGTTTTATGTTATGATCACAGATTTGTTTGTTGTTCTCTCCCTTTCTGTATTTTCTGAAATTCTTAATGATCATGAATTTTTAAAATAATAAATTGTCTATTTATTCATTCAGCACATAGCTTCCAATCATTAAGTTTAGAGCTTCAAGGATGATTAAACTATTTATCTGCCCTGAAGAAGCATACAGAACTCTAGGAGAGACACCAATTGACACAAAGTGAATAGCTGCCATGAGAGAGGAATGCTTGAGGTCCAAGTGTGTATCAAAAAGGTAGTGCCCATTATACCTGTGTGCAGAGTCAAAATTTAAGAACAATTAAATACACATTGCAATGACAATGTTCAATATGCATGAAAGAAAACATACTGTCTCCTTGACTCTAGGTTGCTCTCTCCAGTTACATTTGTGTTTGAGAAGACTGGAACTAAAAACTGAGATGACCCACTTTTGTAGGGGCTGAGTAAGGATCACACAGTATTGTGGTTGTCAATTTGAGAAATCAGTCAGTCTCTCTGAATCCTTGTTTCCATCCACAGAGGCTGCGACTTTGCCGATGCATCTTTTGAATGCCATTATATTAATGTGCAGTTACCTTGTTTCTCTGTCTCATGTGTTTTAGAAAGTTAACCTTCCTTTTTTATTTTAACTACCATTGAAGCATATTCCTTTTAGCAAAAAGTACAGCAGTAAAGAGCTCAACAAATTGGTTAGAAATCAGTTTTTAAAGAGAGAATATGAGCTCTCAATTGGGTCTCACAGGATTTTCCAAAGAGACTGTGCATTAACTTGGACTCATTACTGTTTATTTTGGCTGTTGAGAAATCTTTTTGGAGTGTTTGCCAATTTTTAGCATACCATCCATGTTGCAAGTGATTGGGTTTATTCATATCGATTCTCTCCGGGTCAAAGGAGTGTTATCTGTTTGTTACACAAACATTTATTTAGTGCCTACTATGTGCCTGGCCTCTACTCAGAGCTAGTGCAATAGCAGTCAGCAACAGACAGGGTCCTTACCTTCTGGGGAGATGACAATAAAAACATAGACAGATAAGTAACCATGGAAATAGGTGGTAGAAGGACATGATATGAACACAGAGGATGGCTATGGAGGTTGTATGCAGGAGACTGCGTCTGTTATTATTGATCCCTGATGCTCGATGTCTTTAAAATGTGCTGTTCATTTTGCTCAAATTTGGTGTTGGTCATCTTGCTACAGTGGACAGTACCTGGGCTTTGAAGTCAGAGCCACCTGGGTGGTGCAACTCCCAGGAGAGTTCTATAACGGATCTGAACATCAGTTTTCTCATCTCTGTTTTGCAGAGAAGACTGCACGCTGCCAGTGTTGGTGTGACAGAGAAATGGGTTAGGCAAACAGTCTGTAGAACATATTAGGGGCTCAAAAACTGAGGGATTGATTCATGTTCTTTTTATGTGATCTCTGTCTCCTATTGCTCACTCGTTGAGATTGCTGGAATTCTAACAGTTTTGCCTTCTATAAAAATCTCCAGAAAAGTAGTTACACAGGTGCACTTGTGTCTTTTCAAGTTGTCTTTTAGTGTAATTTACTTGCCAGGTGTAGTGAACTGCATAATAGCCTCCCAGAGATGTCTAGTTCTCATCCCAAGCACCTGTGAGTGTGTTTACCATACGTGGCGAAACGGGATTTGCAGATGTGATTAAATGAAGAGTCTTCAGATGGGCCAGTTATCCTGGATCATCTAAGTGGCCCCTGTGCTGTAATCACAAAAGTCCTTTTAAGAGGGAGGCAGAAGTTCAGAATTATAGAGGGAAGATGATGGTGTGGATGGAAGGAGAGGGAAACAATGAGAGAAGATGCTACCCTGAGGACTTTGAAGATGGAGGAAGAAGCCCTGTGCCAGAAAATGTGGGAAGTCTAGAACAGTGCTCCCCAAACGTTTTGGCACCAGGAACTGGTTTCATGGAAGAAATTTTCCCACAGACTGGTGGGGGTGGGAGTGGGAGATGGTTTAGGATGATTCAAGTGCATTATGTTTTTATTGTGCACTTTATTCTATTATTATTATACTGTAATGTATAATGAAATAATTATACAATTCATGATAAGGTAGAATCAATGGGAGCCCTGAACTTCTTTTCCTGCAACTAGACCATCCCCTCTGGGGTGATCAGAGCCAGGACAGATCATCAGGCATTAGATGCTCATAAGGAGTGTGTAACCTAGATCCCTTGCATACATAGTTCACAATGGGGTTCGCACTCCTGTGAGAATCTAATGTTCCTGATCTGACAGGAGGTGAAGCTCACGTGGTAATGTGAGCAATAGGGAGCAGCTGTAAATACAGATGAAGCTTCACTGACTCACCTGCCACTCACCTCCTGCTGTGCTACCCCGTTCCTAATGGGCCTTGCACCAGTACTGGTCTGTGGTTCAGGGACTGGGGACTCCTGCTCTAGAAGATAGAAAAGACAAGGAAACGGCATTCCCCTCAGAGCATCCAAGAGGAATGTAGCCCTGGAAGCCCATCTGAGACTTCTGACTTTCAGAACCATAAGATGGTAACTGCTCCACCAGGTTTGTGATCATTTGTTACAGCAGTTATGGAAAATTAATATACCAGGGGAAGCCAGGAGACCCTGCCAGGGCTGTAGGCAACAAAAAGAATAGGGGTGTCTGGGTTGGTTTGGACA